CCTGTTTCACGACTGGCCCGCGCTTAACGGTCGTGCTTGACGACCGGACGCTCTGCTTAGCAACGGGGCGTCTTTTGACGGCCCTGTTTCACGACTGGCCCGCGCTTAACGGTCGTGCTTGACGACCGGACGCTCTGCTTAGCAACGGCGCGTCTTTTGACGGCCCTGTTTCACGACTGGCCCGCGCTTGACGGTCGTGCTCGACGAACTGCCGCTCTGCCTAGCAACGGCGCGTCTTTTGACGGCCCTGTTTCACGACTGGCCCGCGCTTGACGGTCGTGCTCGACGACCGGACGCTCTGCTTAGCAACGGGGCGTCTTTTGACGGCCCTGTTTCACGACTGGCCCGCGCTTGACGATCGGCCGCTCTGCCTAGCAACGGGGCGTCTTTTGACGGCCGTGTTTCACGACCAGCCCGCGCTTGACGGCCCTGCTGGACGAACTGCCGCTCTGCCTAGCAACGGCGCGTCTTTTGACGGCCCTGTTTCACGACTGGCCCGCGCTTGACGGTCGTGCTCGACGACCGGACGCTCTGCTTAGCAACGGGGCGTCTTTTGACGGCCCTGTTTCACGACTGGCCCGCGCTTGACGATCGGCCGCTCTGCCTAGCAACGGGCCGTGTTTTGACGGTCGTGTTTCACGACTGGCCTTCGCTTGACGGCCCTGCTTGACGACCGGCCTCCCTTGGCTAGCAACGGGGGCGCGCTTGACGACGGGCCTTCTCCGCCTAGCAATATCTTCGCGCTCGGCGGCCGCCTTGTAGTGAACGGCGGCGCGCTTGACGGCCGTCCTCGACAACGGCCCTGCTTAGCGACGGCGTCGCGCTTGACGGCCGAGGGTTTTGCGACCCTTTCTCGCAGCCGCTGGGCTTCCCTCAGGGGGCCCTTTGGGGGGGTTTACGGGGGTTATGGCCTCATCCCCGTAGGATGTGACGGAGCACCATGGGCCTTGTAGTGGCTTCTGTGGCTCCAGCGAGAACGGGGAGTTGCAACCTGAAGCGGCTTTGAGTCGTGTTTGGCTTCAGCCGGGCAGAAATGCCGCTGGAACCTCTCTCTCCTCCCCTCCCCCGACTCTGTTTTGAAGGAAAAAAAGCTTTCTCCGCTTTTTTTATTTCCAATCAGGCGCTTCGTTAGCCACCTATGGGCCTCGGAGGCGATGGCGGCGCCCGCCGGCAGGTGGCGCTGAAGAGGCGCCTCTCCGCCAGTAATCCCTCCCCCTCCCCTCAGGCGGTCCGTGACGTCATCGGGGCGCGCGGGCGACGCCGCCCAAGGAGGCGGAAGAGCCGCGAAGGGGATGCTGGAGGCGCTGATCTCCGGGTCCGCCGAGGGGCTGCTGCTCCTGCAGGGTGAGGGAGGGGCCCGGCCTGGCCCTGCTCTGCCCCTCCCGGGCTCCTGCGGAGGGGCTCCCCCTTTCATGGGCAGCTGGGAGGGCAGGGAGAGAGGGTCTTCTTGGCCGAAAGGCGAGCAGGGGTCGCTGCTGGCGTCTAGCTTGGAGCCCTGGGATCTCCTGGTGGCCTCCCATCCCCTTCAGGGGAATCTCCTGGTGGCCTATCAGTGCGGGTTGGATCACCTGGTGGCCTCCCATCCCTCCTGCACAGTGGCCTATCGCCCCCCCCCCCATCCCTCCTGTAAGGGATCTGGTGGTCTTATTGTGTGCAAATGATCTCCTTATGGGCTTCCATCCCTTTCAGGGGGTCTCCCTGGTGTTCTGTTTCATGCAGGGGATCTCCTGGTGGCCTCCCATCCCCTTCAGGGGATCTCCTGGTGGCTTATCAATGCGGGGAAAATCTCCTGGTGGCCTCCCAGCCCTCCTGCACAGTGGCCTATTGCATGCATGGGGTCTCCTGGTGCCCCCCCCATCCCTCCTGTAAGGGATCTGGTAGTTTAATTGCGTGCAAATGATCTCCTTATGGGCTCCCATCCCTTTCAGGGGGGGTCTCCCTGGTGTTGTTTCATGCAGGGGGATCTCCTGGTGGCCTCCCATCCCCTTCAGGGGATCTCCTGGTGGCTTATTAATGCGGGGGAAATCTCCTGGTGGCCTCCCATCCCTCCTGCACAGTGGCCTATCGCATGCAAGGGGGTCTCCTGGTGCCGCCCCCAATATCCCTCCTGTAGGGGATCCCGTGGTCTTATTGCATGCAGAGCATCTCCTGGTGGCCTATTGCATGTAGGGGATCTCCTAGTGGCCTCCCATCCTCCTCGGGGTTCCCCCCCCCCGAGTGCCAGCTGAGGAAGGCAGGGAGGGGGAGGCAGCTGCTTGTGAGTGGTCAAGAGAGACACTTTGGCTGACCACTCTGTGTCCCTCCTGGGTTTTTTAAAAATTCATCTATTAATATCGCAATGTTGTCCATCTCCCTCCCTCTGAGCAATTTGCAGGTTAGAAAACAAGTTAAAAAATTGTGAAAAGGTTCAAAGAACACAGAATGAAAATATGACTTAAGAACTACCCTAACCACCGAACCGAGAGGCTTAATCCAAAAAACGTCGCTTTTTCCCCCCCTCTGGCAGATTCAGTTGCTTGCGAAGGCCGCTCCCTGCTGAAGAGCTTCGTCACAGCTGCCGCCCGGCGGTGAGTGAGACACTCCCGGAGCCTTTGCGTTTATCGCTGTATCGAATTGATAGGCCACCCACTCTGGCTGGGCAAAACCGGCCTCGAAGTCTTGATGCCAACCTAGCTGTGAGGTCTCTAAATGGAGGGGGGATCGGTTTTTATTTTCATTTCTTTACTAAATGTGTATTCCGCCCATTTCTCAACCCAGGGACTCTGGGCTGCACATCATGATCCCACATCGGCCACTCCACTTTCCCATATTGCGGTGGGGCGGTGGGGGCGGGGGATGATGAACACTGTAGTCCAACTTTCTGCAAAGGTCCTGAAATGCTATTGGTTCGGGCCGGTTCACCCTTGATCACACGTCGCACAGCCAAAAACGAGGTGTGTGTGTGGGGAGGGGGTCCATTTTTGTTCCCAGCAAACTTCCCTGAAGCTGCCTAGGCCAAAAACGGGTTGCGGGTGCTGAGAAAGAAAGAAATACACAGAGAGAGACAAAGAAAGAAGGGAGATAGAAAGAGAGAGAAAGAAAGAGAGAGAGGGAGGGAGGAGGAGAGAGAGAGAGAAAGAAAGAAAGGGAAGGAAAGGAAAGAAAGAAAGTGTGTATGAGAGAGAGAGAGAATAAGAAGGGAGAAAGAAAGGGAGGGAGGAGGAGAGAGAAAGAAAGGGAAGGAAGGAAAGAAAGAAAAAGTGTGTATAAGAGAGAGAGAGAATAAGAAGGGAGAAAGAAAGAGAAAGAAAGAAAGAAAGGGAGGGAGGGAAAAAGGAGAGGAAGGAAGGACTACAAATCTGGCATTAGACGCAGTTTCAGAGGATAATCCAGGGCTGGAAGGGACCTGGAGGTCATCTAGTCCAACCCTGCTCCAGCAGGACATTGTTAAAGCGACTTTCCCAAATTGAGCCTTCGATTTCTGTTGCCTAAGTGNATCCCACATGGCTATCATAAACATCTCTCCAGAGATGTTTATGTCTCCTGGTGACAGGAAACCAGTTGTAAAGTTGTAAAACTCAGTTGTTTCAGATGTAGCTAATGATTTAACTCCGAGGTTCCCCTCCTCCCAATTGAATGGCAGCATCACTTTTAGGGATCTGACAGAGGCTGTTTTCGCCCTCCCAGACTCCTAGAAAGTCTCTGGAGCCCAGGGAGAGGCAAAAAAATCAGGACCATTGAATACCAAAAGCAGGGGAGTGGGGGAGGTTTGCGTGCACAGCATTATGGGTGTGGGCATGACCCCCTGAATTCCCCCCTCTTTTGGCATGCAATCTGATCTAGAGCACGGGTGTCAAAAGTGCCGTGTTACATATCATATCATGCCGTTTTCTCTCTTCGCGGAGCTGGGGTGGGCGTGGCCCATGTGCGACACGGGTTCGGGATCAAGGGTTCAAGGGTTCTCTAAACCCGGACTGGCGCCCCCTATTTGGAACTGGGCCACTCAAGCAACCGGCCGGTGTGAGCGTGCGCATGGAGCACGACTTGAGGCAGTGGCTCCCGGTGCATGAGCGCATATGCGCCTCCAACTTGCACGAGTCCAGCTGTGCATGCATGTGCCGCCCCACCCATTGCGCAAGTTGAGCTATGTGTGCGTGCACACACGTTTAAACAGTAACAGAGTTGGATGGGAGCTTGGAGGTCATCTTGCCCAACCCCTTGCTCACGCAGGAGACCTGTACTCGGGATTTGAACCGCAGAACTGGTGGACATTTCTGACCGACAAACTCAGCGCTATAGCCGCTGAGCCACCTTGCCGACCCGCCACTCGCACAGCCGGGTTCCCCCCTCTCCCCATCCCGAGCCGGGCAGCCAAGCCACAAAGGTTGGGGACCCCCGATCTAGATCATGACCTCCCCAACCCACCCACTGCTCACCGGACAAGTTGAGGGATGATAGAAGGTCCGTCAGATGCAAGATCTGCCGAGGGGCGAGCAGCAGGTGCAGAGATCCAATCTTCCCATCCAACTCCAGCTGCAGTTGGAAACAGAACCACATTGCACGTCAAAAGAAGCCGCTCCCGACCCATTTCGGGCAGAGGAAAAGGTAAAATCCAGGTGTTTGGCTCTTCCCCTGGACGCTACAGTCCAATTCCTGTAAATAAGGCCTATCTAGACCAGGATGCTAAACTGAGCGTGCATTCAGGAGGAAAAACCAACAGTTTTTGCATGCTTTAACGATTAAAAATCACGGAATATAGAATAAGAATAGAGTTGGAAGGGACCTCAGAGGTCCTCTACTCCAACCCTGTGCTCCTGCAGGAGACCCCATGCCAGGAATGTCGCACACTTGTCAGGGCCGCCACCCAGGAGAGGAGCAGTTCGGGGGGGGGGGGGGGGCAAGGGCCAGGAATGACCTTAGCTCCAGGGAAGGCCTCGTTTTGCTTGAGCTTAATCCTCATCTCGGTGTATCCGGAGCAGCTTCCGATCTGAAGCAGAGGACTGGGGCCAGCCTCTTCCCCGCCGGAATCGCACGGCTCGGCCTCCTGGGTGAAAAGGAAATCAAACTTCCATCAAAACAATGCCGGGGTTACAGCCCGCCAGGGGAGCTGGTGGCAGACTCAAGACAGTGAGGAGGGTTGGGGAGGAAGATGGGCCAGTCCTGGAGTCTGGGGAAGGCTTTGATGAGGGCTCTGTTTTGTCTCCGCTCTAGAGCCTCAGCAAGAGACGCCCGAGGACAGCTTCCTATCACCTTCTCAGCCTGTGATTCTCAAAACAACTTTGGCTTTTTCCACATCGGACTGAGGAGAGTGGGGGTGTCTCTAACTGTTTTAATCTAGCAGAATTGTGCAGGGATCCTCAGATCCTGCTTCTTTTGTCTTGCTATCCCTTTCTTCCCATAAAAGGTTAGTTTTGAAATGCTAATTGTTTCAAGAGTTGAGCGGAGAGGAGAGGCCAGTCCTTACAGGGGGTTATTGCAGATGGTGAAGGAATGCAAGTGTGCCAACTTGAAGCCTAAGACAGATCCAGCACCCCAAGGCCATCGGTTGGGAAAATCCAAGGCGGAGAGACTGTTCCCAAAACAACACAATTGTAACCGATTGGCCAGACATGTCAAACTCAAGGCTTGGGGGCCACGTCCGGTTAGACCTGGCCCGTGGGACCGTCCTGGAAACAGCGAGGGGCCAGCCAGGCACTTCCCCTCTGTGAGTTCGATCCTAGGTAGAGGCAGATATTTCTCCCTTTGGGCACCATGACTGCTAACTCCGCACTGGCGACAGGAAGGGCATCTGGCCAGTAAACATTGTATAGCTCCATTCAGTTGCCCAGATTCCACCCCGTAAGGGATTATGGCGTCATTAAATGAAGATGAGGATGAAACAATTCAGAGGCTTCATTTAGTTTCCCACACCCCTGCGACATGATTCTGGCAGTGTGGGCAAGTTTGTGTGCGAAAATGTTAGAATTGGCTTTTCCACTTCTGCACCCACAGGGAATTTTCAATAAAATTATACTCTTGGTAAAAAGATGTCCCAGGAGTCTCCTTTGCTGGCTCAACCAGTGGGATGGTGAACAGACTGTAAGGCCGGGAGGTAGGGGGGGAAGAGATATGGAAGCCCTGCTGAGCCTTGTGAGAAGCTCCAGCCAGCCAAGACCAACCGTTGGTTATGAAGAGCTGGGAACCGAGAACCTGTATTCTAAACAATAGACAAGCACCTAATTGGGGTTCCACCACAAAACCGCGCTCGACTAAACCGCATCCGACTAAACCGCGTAGCTGACGTCATCAACAGGGCGACAACAGCG